TGTTTCCACTTTCGCCGCGACGGGAGATGGAATCGAACCATCGAGCTGTCCCATCGCAAGTCCAGCATCGTGCTGAATATTAAAACCACAGCAGCAGCATCCTCCCAAGCTTCGGGCCATCTGACCAAATTCCCTTTTTGGCCAACGTTCTCTTCCTGCGGTGGAGCGGGTGGTACGGTGGATAACGCGCTTCCCAGCGACACCTGGCGTCACGAGTTTGATACCCGTCCGTGGTTAAACGACACCAGCGGCGAGTGAGATCAGAACTGGCGCTGCAGTCGTTGTGGCTCGTTGCCACCCATGGATCCCGACCTTGACGACGCCTGCTGCTGTATATTTGGAGTTGGCAGTGTCTCCATCCCCGTGGTCGCGTGGATTTTTCTCCGGGTCCTCCGGTTTTTCCCTCTAACATAAGGCATTTAGAGTATTTGGCTGCTTATACATTTCCACTTGATAAGCCACTTCGTTGAGCTATCGTTTGCGGCCTGGTCATTTGCGACAAAAGAGATGTATAGTTCAGTGGGCCTTACCTGGTAAAATAAAAAAAATTGTTTAGACGAATAGTTTAGTTTCATGGTGGCTCAATGAGAGAGGGAGGAGGGGAGGGGGTCACAGGTTTGAGATCTGCAGGAGCTGTTGTGTCCCCTTATCTGCTCTGGGAACCATCTGTCCGTTGGAAGGAGGGTGGACTGTGGAGTTAGCAGCGTACCGCAGCGTCGATAAGTCGATAACAATTGATTCGTACACTCAGAGTGCGTGTGATAGTGGATCATTATTATTTGCTGAAGTTACAATGGGGCTCATGATGCGACTGATGGTACAGTACTTGAGACAAATACATAGACACTACGCATTAGAGAAGTGCAAATAAGACAGGCAGCACACGTATGAATGGAACAGACTAACGAGACAACACATATGATGCAGTCCAACTGAGACGACATTTAAGACAGACGGTGTACATGAAACGGAAGATTCAAGGCAGGCAGTACAAATGAGACACTGTTAATGAGACAGTGCAAACAGACGTTACCAATGCGATTGAATGCTCAAGGCAGACAGCGCTACCGAGACAGATGGGCACAAATAAAACAGTAACTTCCAAGGCAGGCAGCACAAAGTTACGTAGACATGAAACGATAAAGAAAAACCCCTTGAAAAAATTCATCGGCAACAAACAACAATGGCTTCAACAACAAACATGAAAAATGACGAACAGAAATGGGCCAACGTTGTTGGCACGCGTGCTTGTTGTACCATTGGGCCGGGGTACCGTGTTTACTGCGTAGTGGCATTACAAATTTAAATTACGTACGTGGCGTCTTCTCGAATCGGATTGCGGTCCCCGGAATTGCGACGAGAGATGAATCGGGGTAACCTCCGGAGGTCACCTCCGGGGTAGCCCCAGTGGGACCGTCCCTCGTTGGGTGTGCGGGGAGAGGGATGTTCGTGAGAGAGAGAGTGAGTGCGGAGAGAGGCAGCAGCCCGTAGCTGAGACCATCGCCACCGCTGGCCTCGTCGTCAAAGTCGCCGGGGTTCAAAGTCAAGGCCGGGCATCTCGCTCAGTCCATTCCTTGGCGCCCGGACAGCTCCGAGAGATAGCGTTATATTGCGGGGGACCGATGGACCCGCGCGGCGCCTCGCAGCGCCGTAAACGTATTATAAATGAACAGGCGGACCAAAAACACCGCCCGTTGCCCCCCAACTCCTCCGCCGCCACCGATCACAGCCGATCTCTATCGAAACTCGAACGCCAAGCAGGAGCGAGCCTGCTTGAGAAAGTGGAAGCGCGGCAGCCGCTCGTCTGGGTGGCGTGGGTCCCGTCGACGACCACCTGCGCCGAGTCTCGGGTCTCAGGGACATCCCACACGCTCCTTTTGCCACCACCACCTCCCCCCCTAGTCCGTTCGACTCAAGCGGCGGTCACGTTTGAGTCCACCGTGGGCGATTACACGTTGGGCGTGAGGGCCGCACGTCGTTTCTTCCTCCCCGGCGTTATCAGGTTAGCCCAGTCGGTGAACTCGGCGGAATCTGTTGAAGCGCGCGTGTGCGGGATAACGGCCGATTGGTCTTGCTCAGTGCGCCGCGTTCTTCTCCAGTGAAGGTCAACGAATGATCTCGGGTGTAACCGTGTGCCGCGAGGACTCGTTGCTTGCGTCTCGACGTCACGGTCGGACGGGGCGCTTTTGGGTCTCAGCCGGGCAGCAGCCGCAGTCATCATCGCGCTAGGACGTTTTTTAAAAATATTTATATCGCTAGTTTAGTTACAATTGACACTAGTAATTGGGTGGTGAGCGATAATATCAGATGCTATGCCGCGTGTGCTGCGAGGGGCCTTTGACTGGATGTGGCTATCCAGAAGTTAGTTCTTAAATCCATGCGTGCGGAGATTTTGAGTGCTACTTGCCATACTATGTGCGTGATGCTGGGTTTCCTCTCGACACGAAACCAAACTCTCATGAATGGAATCTCCATGGCCAAACATCCCAACATAGCAGCACCCTCCCTGCGACTCAGTGAGGCTTTCCTGGTTAAATAAAGTGATCAATTGTCTTATTATGACACTACAAAAAACGGATTATATTGAGTGCTCCGAGTACTGGAGAATTGTGAGAAAATCATGGACATGATAACTGCTTTTTTATGTTTAGTAGTTTGTTATCCATCCTCCGCACCTCCGATTCGCACGGTTGATGACGTACAGTGTGAAAGAAGTTCAACATACATTGACTCACACAGAGACCCATACACTCAGAGACCCATAGACTCACCACACAGCGACCCATAGACTCACCACACAGAGACCCATAGACCCATATACTCAGACACCCATAGACTCACCACACAGAGACCCATAGACTCACCACACAGATATCCATAGACCCATACACTCAGAGACCTATAGACTCACCACACAGAGACCCATAGACCCATACACTCAGAGACCCATATACTCACCACACAGAGACCCATAGACTCACCACACAGAGACCCATAGACTCACCACACAGAGACCTATAGATTCACCACACAGACACCCATATACCCATACACTCAGAGACCCATAGACTCACCACACAGAGACCCATAGACCCATACACTCAGAGACCCATAGACTCACCACACAGAGACCCATAGACTCACCACACAGCGACCCATAGACTCACCACACAGAGACCCATAGACCCATATACTCAGAGACCCATAGACTCACCACACAGAGACCCATAGACTCACCACACAGCGACCCATAGAATCACCGCACAGACACCCATAGACCCATACACTCAGAGACCCATAGACTCACCACACAGAGATCCATAGACCCATACACTCAGAGACCCATATACTCACCACACAGAGATCCATAGACCCATACACTCAGAGACCCATATACTCACCACACAGAGACCAATAGACTCACCACACAGAGACCCATAGACTCACCACACAGAGACCCATAGACTCACCACACAGAGACCCATAGACTCACCACACAGAGACTCATAGACTCACCACACAGAGACCCACAGACTCGCCACACAGAGACCCATAGACTCACCACACAGAGACCCATAGACTCACCACACAGAGACCCATAGACTCACCACACAGAGACCCATAGACTCACCACACAGAGACCCATAGACTCATCACACAGAGACTCATAGAATCACCGCACAGACACCCATAGACCCATTCACTCAGAGACCCATAGACTCACCACACAGACACCCACAGTTTGTTGTCCTTCCCCCACACATCCGACTAGCACGGATGGCTACGTACGGCGCGAAAGAAGTTCAACGTATATATACACATGACATGTGTATCTTATTTTCCACTACAGAGCAACGGGATTCGCTACCATTGTACATTTAAAAACACCGTGACTGCAAACAGAGTTGAGAATCAATGACGCTTCCCTGGGTAAATGATGGTCATCGTTGCAGTTATTTCATTATTTACGATGTCTGACAGGGGGGGGGGTTATGTTTTGAGCAGATCAATGACGCAATTGTAACGATGTAAGACGAGTAACTTTCTGCAGTGTTGTGGAGTTTAAATAGAAATATGCGCAGTGCACGTGCGGCGCTAATACATTTTTTCCTTTGTTTTGTTTAAATTTCTTAGAATTCGGAGCGAGTGCCCAAGTTTTTTTTGGGGGGGGGGGGCAGGGGGAGTGGGGGATGATGGTGAGGGGGGGCAAATAGGGTGGAAGGGGAGAACTATACAGTCACGCTTGTGCGAAAAGCCAAGCAAAAGAAATAAATAAATTCTGCACACATAATTTAACCTTGCACCATTAGTCACGAGCAATTTGGCGCATTTTCACTTTTCCGGATTTCGAATGAAATAAAAGTATATTTATATCCTCACAAAGAGATGTTGTCTTAATTGCTGTGATATATCTTTTTTTTTGAAGGACAGATTTGGATGCGATGTATTTTAGCTGCTTCTGAATCGTGTCGCAACGCTCTCCAACTGCGGCTGCAACCGCTGACGCTCTCGCTCTCTGTCCGTCCGTCTGTCTGTCTGCAACACGCGAGTCACGGTAACGCTCCTAAAGATGATTCAATGACAAATGTATCAAAGGCGTTTCCGAAATCGATACCAAAAAAAGAGGGCTGCCCCCCTTTGGGTTGCACAGCCTGGCGCGACGTGCAAACATCCGCACTGGGGAGACAAAGGTGGCGAGGCGTGGTGCTGATCACATCACCCGCCTTGCGCGTCATCCGGGCCACGATAGGCAAGGATGAGTGGGAAGCTGGAGAGCGTTCCAGAACACATCTGTATGCACGGTTTTTCTTCCTTGTTGTGTTGTGGCTTTGGGCCTAACGGTTCGAACCACGTCTCAACGTTGTCCCGACGTTGCCCCAGCGTTGCATGTTGACCGGGTACCCACCTGCATTGTTTTGACCTTTGACCTGCCCTCATCGCCAGCCATGTTTCTTAAGTCTCCTCTTCGTTTCTCCGTTCCCCCCGCCCACACCCCGCAGCTTTAACGGGAGGTGCCGAAGACTTGAGAAGAGGGTTCTGCGGGCGGATTCGAGGAGGTGTCGAGTATTTTGGAGAAGAGGACGTGAAAGAGAGACAAGAGAGAGAAGAGAGAGAGGAGAGAGCGAGAGTGAGAGCAGACAACCGCGAAGATGGGGCGGAAAAAAATACAAATAGCAAAAATAATGGACGAGAGAAACAGACAGGTAAGACACAAACACTGGCACGGTCCAGAGAACCTGCGGCTCAACCAGCGTGTGGATGGGTGGTTGGGTTCCCAATGGCGTGCGGACTTGTCCGTAGAAAGTGTTGCAGACACTACGATTTGGAGTTCAATTTTAAATTTTTGATGTTGTGTTTTTTATCGGGGGGCCTGGTGTTTCTGTCCGCTTTGAGGGTCGATGATGGTGCGTGTTGTTCGTAGGGAAACCCCGCTGCGTCATACATAAAATGTAAAAGTGTTTCTTATACGACCCATCAGCTGCACGGCCTTCTCGGAGTGCATCATTTGAGCAGCATTCATGTCAAGCAAACTCTGGGCCTGTTTTGACGCACTGTGTCTCATCAGCAGAGTCAGGCTTTATTAAAAAACTAAAATTGATCTTGAATCACAGCAGCACTTGGCACGACAATCAAGTGGTCTAACTGCTGTTCACGACGCCTCGTAAGAAAAAAGGTTGCCTATAGAAGAAGACCTGATGATGCAGGCAGCGATGAGAAGGAAACGTTCACTATTTGGGCACACGTGTAGGATGGACAACAACAGGGAAACTAAAAGTGTTGTTGTCGTTCGGGAAAAATGGAAGGAACATGAAAGAGAGGAAGACCTAACGGAGGATGGCTTGACGACGACACGTAAGAGATTGGTGCCGGAAAGACTTGGGCCACTACTTGAGCATGTTACCACAAGAGACAGAGAGGAAAGTGGAAACAAATGACGAAATGTGCAGTGGACACCTACGGGCTATCTGCCTATGGATTGTGGTGATGATGATGATGACGATGATCATCACGGAATGATTCACAAAAGGGGGCAAACGTGGTCAGCCCCCACGCCCTGCCACCTTTGTCTCCCCCGGAGGAGCTGACGTTTAACGCGGCGCGCACCAGGCTGACGCGTCGAGGGTCATGTCAGCTGCCCCGGATTGACCCCGGTGGGTTCAGCCTGACCGCTTGGCCCATGCTGACGCGAGCGTGGGGGTGGGGAGAGGTGGCGGTGGGAGTGGGGATGTACAGCACATGGCATAATCCTCTGCGCTCTAAAAAAAAATACATAAGCGAGTGGGCAAATAGCAGAAGGTAAAAATCGCGGGCGAACAAGCACGGGTGCAAATAACGCGACGTACAGACGGACCGGCGCGTCGCCGTGGATTTGCCCGAGTTATGTTTTTTGTTCTAAACGCGTCGCTGGTTGTCAAACACGACGTCGGACGCGGCCAGTGGCGCGAGTTAAGAACGTAGCAAAACATCGGCGCTCTCATCGCACCGTCCCGCACCGCCGCCCGGCGCAGGGCAATGGGCGCTGCGAGCGACGTCGTACTTGACAGCCAACGACGCGTTGGGAAAGAAACAAAAAAACTTTGCCAGATCCACGGCGATGCGCCGATCCAGTCTGTACGCCGCGTTATTTGCGTGCGCGTTCGCCCGCGGTTTTTGCCTTCCGCTCTTCGCCCGCTCTTTCGGCGCTTTGCTCGAATAGCGCCGACGATGACCCTGGGCGAAGTCGCAGCCCCATGCGGCAGCAGCAGAGACAAGTGCAGGGAAAATGGGAGGGGGGGGGGCTGAAAGAGAAAACAACTGAGCAGCGTGGTGCATTATGGTCAAACGGCCCACACGACCCCCACTGCATGGGTCTCATCCAGCAGCGGATCGACAAAAGGGGCCGTACATTCATTTGCGTGACCGAATCGTGCCAGGCGCGTGTTGTTACTTCGGCGCTCCTGCCTGCAGGGGCAATGGGGCAGTACAGCAAGAAGGTTCCCGACGTACGTTTGCGACGTTAGTTTTGCAGAGGAGGAGCCAAGCGCGAAGCTCTGGCCAAACATCACAAAGCAGGGACCCTCCTGAGAGCAAGTTCTAGAACTCTGACCCGATTATAAATTCGTGTGTGTGTGTGTATCGTGTCATCTGCTGCAGTTGCAGCATACTGTGTAGAATAATGATGATAATGATGAATGTTATTAATAATAATGCTTTTATTTAACCAGGAGAGCCCAATTGAGATTTAAGACTCGTTTTCATTGGGCTGTCTGGCCAAATGTATGAACGAGCGTTTGTCATGTTCACGATGGCGATGCTGCCGCTACTGCTGCTGTTCATGATAACGCTGATGATGCTGTCGCTTGATGATTGCGGTTTTGACGGTGACAACAATGATGATGATGATGAAATACTGATGATGATCCTGATGATGGTTACGATGATGACAACAATGATAGTGATTCTGGTGATGACGTTGACAATGATGACAGTGATTCTGGTGATGATGATGACGGTGATTCTGGTGATGACGATGATGATGATGACAGTGATTCTGGTGATGATGATGACGATGATGACGGTGATTCTGGTGATGATGATGACGGTGATTCTGGTGATGACGATGATGACGGTGATTCTGGTGATGACGAAGATGACAGTGATTCTGACGACGACGACGACCACGCAAGTCCTAACAGTGTCACGACCGCCCCCCCACCCCCCCCCCCCACCTCTCTCCGTGCTTCGTCGCCGCGCCGTAGGTGACGTTCACCAAGCGCAAGTTCGGCCTCATGAAGAAGGCCTACGAGCTGAGCGTGCTGTGCAACTGCGAGATCGCGCTCATCATCTTCAACAGCTCCAACAAGCTCTTCCAGTACGCGAGCACCGACATGGACAAGGTGCTGCTCAAGTACACCGAGTACAGCGAGCCGCACGAGAGCCGCACCAACTCCGACATCCTAGAGGTGCGTCGGTGTGCGTGTCGGTGTCTGTGCCGGTGTGTGTGTGCCGGTGTGTGTGCGTGTCGGTGTCCGTGTCGGTGTCTGTGCCAGTGTGCGTATCGGTGTCCGTGTCGGTGTCCGTGCCGGTGTGCGTGTCGGTGTCTGTGCCGGTGTGCGTGCCAGTGTGCGTGCCGGTGTGTGTGCGTTTGCGCGTCCCGCGAGCGACCGTGCGTTTGCGCGTCTGTGCGCTACGACCCCCCACCCCCCCACCCCCCGGCCGGTCTTCTCGGCCCCCTGCTAGGTCGACTCGGCCTTAAATGAGTTGGCTGGTGCGGTGTGTAGAATGCCGGCGTCGGGGTGGCCACCGTCCCACTCGGTCGCCGTGCCTGGGCCTTCTTCATAGGTGCACGTTGACAGCACTTGCCCCAATATTCTGTTAAAGGCTATACGGGTGATCTTTGTCTTTGCATGTATGTGTGTGCCCCACGGGCAATCATGTGTCTGTACGTATGTGTGTGTGTCAGTGTGTGTGTTAGTGTGTGTGTCAGTGTGTGTGTCAGTGTGTGTCAGTGTGTGTGTCAGTGTGTGTGTCAGTGTGTGTCAGTGTGTGTGTCAGTGTGTGTGTGCCCCACGGGTGATGTGTGTTGACGTGCGTGCTTGTCCGTGTGTGTGCCCCATGAGTGATCACGAGTGTGTGTGTGTGTGTACACTTGTGTGTGCATGTGCGCTTGTGCGTGTGTCGCTAGCACTCCGCTGTGAACCCGGCGTCCCCGAGTTCGAATATCGCTCAGAGCCAACACCAGCGGCGAATACCAAAGCTTCCCCTGGGTCGATTCAGCCTTAAATTAATACCTGCTGCAGGGTATAAACAGTACCACTGGGAGAGACAAAGGTGGCTAGACGTGGTCCTGGTCACACTACTCTTTGTGTGCTCTACTGGCCTGTCTAGGTACTCGTGAACAGCATCTTCTCTGTGTAGGCTATACGGGGAACATTTGTCTTTTGTGTGTGTGTGTGTGAATATGTGCACATGCGTGGGAGTGTGGATCGCGTGTGCGTCTGTGTGTACAGCACTTGACCTCATGGGCTGAACGGCTATCGGTGGGGGCTTTCTTTTTTGTGCCTGACCTTATTAGGTGTTCCCTAACCACACTTGCTCCAAAAGTCTGTGGAGGCTACACAGGGGAGCTTTGTCTTTTTATGGACGTGTGTGCGTGTGTCTATGTATGTGGGGAGCGGTAGTGTAGCGGTTAGCACGCTTAGCCACGAACCTGGCGACCCAAGTTCGATTCCCCGCTCACGTCTAACCCCAGTATATGAGTGTTTGAACCGGCCCTGGGCCGCTCCTACGTCGACTCAGCCTCAAATGAGTACCTGGTGCAGTTTGTAAACATCACCACTGGGGAGACAAAGGCGGCCGGGCGTGGTGTTGGCCACCCAACCCTTGCGTGCTGACCCGGCCTTAATAGGTACTCGCAAACAGCACTTGCCCCAACAATCTGTAGGGCTATATGGGGTATCTTTGTCTTCATCTTTGTGTGTGAGCGTGTCCACGTGTGTTTGTCTTCGTGCACACATGCACTCGTGTGTGTGTGTGTGAATGGGTGCGTGCACGTGTGTGTGTGTGTGAATGGGTGCGTGTGTGTGTGTTTGTATGGGTGCGTGTGTGTGTGTGTTTGTATGGGTGCGTGTGTGTGTGTTTGAATGGGTCCGTGCGCGTGTGTGTGTGTGTTTGAATGGGTGCGTGCACGCGTGTGTGTGTTTGTATGGGTGCATACGCGTGTGTGTGTGTTTGTATGGGTGCATGCGCGTGTGTGTGTATGTTTGAATGGGTGCGTGTGTGTGTGTGTTTGAATGGGTGCGTGCGCGTGTGTGTTTGAATGGGTGCGTGTGTGTGTGTGTTTGTATGGGTGCGTGTGTGTGTATGGGTGCATGCGTGTGTGAGCCGTGCGTGCGTGTGCGTGGGTGGTCACGCTCATGCCCTTAATCTGGCGCTGGGCGGATACGCGGCAATCGTGCAAGACTGCACGTGCGTTCACGCGCCGCGACACGTGTGTGTGCTTGTGCGTGTGTGTCCACCTGTGTGCCTGTGTGTCCACCTGTGTGCCTGTGTGTGAGCAGTGCTTTAGCGGTTAGCGCGCTGCCCGATGAACCCGGCGACCCGAGTTCGATTCCCGCTCACGGACACCAACATCAGTGACGATTATCTGAACCGGTCCTGGGCCTCCCATATGTCGACTCAGCCTCAAATGAGTACCTGGTGCGGTGTGTAAACATCGCCACTGGGGAGACAAAGGCGGCCGGGCATGGTGCTGGCCACCCACCCCCCTCGGGTGCTGTGCCGGCATTCATAGGTGCTTCTCGCTGACAGCACTTGCCCCAACAGTCTGTGAAGGCTATACGGGGGATCTTTGTCTTTGCACCCGTGTGCGCGCGTGTGGGGAGGGTTCGTGGTGGACAGTAGGATCCGGGTGTACAAGCCTACACAAAGACAAAGGTCCCCTGTGTGGCCTTTAACAAGACTGTTCAGGCAAGTGCTGTTAGCGAGCACCAGTTAAGTCCGGGATGGCACACGAGGTGGCCAACACCACGCCCGCCCGCCTTTGTCTCCCCAGTGCTGATGTTTTACATGGGTACTCACTTGAGGCTGAGTCGACCTAGGGGAGGCCCAGGACCGGTTCAACTAATTGTCACCGTGGTTGGCCGTGAGCGGGAATGGAACTTGGGTCACCGGGTTCGTAGCGCAGCGCGCTAACCGCTACACTACCGCTCCCCACACACGCACACACACACACGGATAGACATACAGACACACTCATGCGTGGTTCCATGCTATAGAAACAGCTCTGTTAAGGGTTTTAAGACAATTCTTGTGATATGACCTTTTGTACTTCCTGTTTTCAATTTAAGGCAGCACGGTTGTAATGAGACGAGCAGATTAAAGTAAAGAAAAACACATATTTTTATCTCTTAACGAGAACCTCAGTAAACTTTCATATCCCTCCGTATCAGTGCTCTGAGTTGCAATACGTGCTCTCAGCATACGACCAAATGTCGTAATTATTACGATTTGCAACCCCTCTGTAAAGCCATTTCGGGACGAAGGCCTCTGCATCAGAAGTCGCAAACGGGTTTTGATTCCTTACCCGTACCCGTACCCGGCCGCACCAGGGTCGCAAACGGGTACCCGTACCCGTACCCGGCCGGGTACGGGTAGCCGGGTATCGGGTAGGGTACGGGTATCGGGTACCCGATTGCGACCTCTGCTCTGCATGCTTTGTCGGCCGTGGGGGTTGTTTGACCGTACTTCACCATACCAAAGGGAGGGGGGGGGAGGGGTCGTTGGTTCCGGACCAATGCAGATATCACACGCCTGTTTCTGCTAACCGCGGCTGGGCATTGAACTCGGGGTTACCAGGTTCATAATGCAACGCGCTGACCGCTCTTTGCATCCTCTCCGTCATCGTATTTAATTCGATTAATTTGTGGGCAAACATGGTTCGACCGCTGGCTGCGATGTTCACGAACACAAGTGGAAATTCGTTTTTTTTTTTTCACATTGTATGGAACTCCCCGAGGTTGACTCGGCACCAAAATTACGTGGCACCATTACCACTGGGGAGGGAATGGCAGCCACTGATTGATTGCGTGTGTGTGTGTGGTCCTATACCTTCCACATGCCCTCTCTGCATGCTGGCTTTAACAGGTGCTCGCGAACAGCACTTGCCCCACCAGCCCAGCCAGGCTAAAAGGAGGCTTCGTGTGTGTACGTGTGTTGACATGTATGCGCATGTTGGCATGTTTGTGTGTGGGGGCGTGGGCGTGTGTGTATGCGCGTGAACCCGTCGACCCGGGTTCAATTCCCATTCACGGCCAATAACAGTGGTGAATATTTGAACGGGTCCTGGGCCTCCCCTAGGTCGACTTATCCTTAGCGTGAATACATGGTGCAGTGTGTAAATATCAGTATTGGGGAGACAAAGGCGATTACTTTAACCAGTCCTGGGCCTCCCCCAGGTCGACTTTACCTTCACACGAATACCTGGTGCAGTGTTTACATTTTTACTTAAAGCTTTCGTGACTGCAGGAATTCATATTCGTGGTTCTTTCGGTAAAGTCACGTAGATAGAAAATAAAGTTAAAGATAATTAACTTAAATAAATACAAATGTACAATTTAAATAATAAATTGAAAATAATAAAAGCAAAAAACGCACGACGTTTCCATCGCAACACCAGCGGTCTTCATCAGGCGGAGAGAAAAGAGGACCGCTTGTGTTGCGATCGAAACGTCGCAGGTTTTTTGCTTTCATCATTTTCAATTTATCATTTAAATTTTACATTGTTTTCATTCATTTAATTTTATTATCTTTTATTTGATTTTCTATCTACGTGACTTTCCCCAAAGAACCAAGAATACAGTGTTTCAATATCAACGTTGGAGGGACAACGGCAGCCGGGTATAGTGCAGGCCATACCGCGCCGGCCTTCATAGGTGCTACTCGCGAATAGCACTTGCCCCAACAGTCCGTGCGAGGCCATGCGGGGGACACCTTTGTCTGTGTACATGTATTGACTACTGGCCCTTGCATATGAACTCCCTCTGCATTCGCCTGCATGGGCCAGACATTTGTCAAGGAATTTGCAAAGTCTGTACTGGATCAGTTTGCAAGCACATGACCCGGAGCCCTAGTTCCGCTCCAGCCAAGATCTTTAAATAAATGAAATCAATATCTAAAATAAGATTCTCTCTAAAGGTCATTTTATGTTTTTCTCTTTTACCTAAACTGTAGTTTTTTATTTTTTTACTTGGGTGACATGTTTAAATGTCGCTTATCGTCACCGCAATGTCAAGAAACCTGGCGAGAAATTTACTAAATAACTTGGCAATCGTCATTGGCCAAGATCAGTCTTCTCTCTGCCCACTCTTCTTGCAATAACAAAGACAAAGACCCCCCCCCCGTATAGCCTGAACAGACTGTTGGGGCAAGTGCTGTTAGCGAGTAGCACCTATGAAGGCTGGCA